GAGAGCGGATGAGGTTGTCAATGCGAATCGCCAGCTCAATGAATTTTCCTAGAGAGCTACCCTCATCACGGCAGGCCAGTTCAGATTGTAGGTCGGCATGGAGTCCCTTGCGGAAGAGGAGCTTGAGGGGATCATCCAATCACCCTGTCTGAGCAGCGAGCCTGCGGAAGGATAGTGCGTAGTCAGCTGCTGAACTTTTTCCTTGACGAATGTCAGCAGTAGCAAAAACAAGACTTCGCAATGAGGGTAAGGTAGGCACTGCCTAAATAGTCATGGTAATGATCAGCACCTGTGCATGTAATCAATGTCAGGCATGGGGTGATGGGAAATGAAGTCCTAAGGAACAATTAGTACTCCGGTGAGGGTTCCCGCTGGTGGGGATCGGAGGGAGCCACGGAGGCTTGATTTGTGACAATATATATATATATATATATATATATATATATACCTTTTGTTTTTAGTTTTTGTTGTTTTGAAAGCAAAATGGCTTCCTGTTGGATGAACCCCAGTAACTTTGACTGAAGTAGTATTTAATAATATATAAAACATTGTCAAACTACTTGGCAACATTTTTGTTTTTGAAAAAATTTCAGCTTTTAATCATGTTTTTCTTTGTATTGTAACACCACCTTGACTTTTTTCTTTTTACCATAATCACAAAATATCAAAATTTTAGAATGTTAAGGATGTTCAGCCAGACTGCACTACATAATATGTCTGTCAATTTTACTTTTGGCAAAGGTCATTTTATTTTATTATATCTTATTTTATTTCATTTCATTTTGTTTCATTTCGTTTTCACTTCTTTGAAAATAGATATTTTAGTTTTATTTATTTATTTTTTTATTTTTTTTATTATTTTTCCACAATATGTAAAGGGCAACAGACATTAATAAACAATAGCCCATGAATATTTGGGCTGGACTAGGCTACACTTTCTCTCTCACTTTTGTTTCTCTCCCTAAATCCTCATTCACATCTCTCCTGTTGTAGTTTCACTGGTGTTTTTCAAAGCTTATATTTTTCTGTTTTTCTCACTTCTAATTCCTGTTAACATTCTGGGGGGAATGTTTTTAAATTAATGCAATCTTATGTTGCAAGTCAATTATTATTATTTTTTTTGGTATTAATTACATTTTTAATTGTTGTATAACTCAATAGTTTCAGACACACTCAAAAAAATAACTTGGATGAACATGTTTCAATCATGGACAGTTGTTTCACGTGATTGAATCAAGTTATTTGAACACGATTGAGTCAAGTTATTTTGGATTTTGTGCCAAAAATAAATAAATTAATACACTTAAAAAATATATATAGCTTCACATCATTGACCTTTATTTGTTTTGCTAATAGCTGTGTAATAATATGCATTTTAATAAGTAGCTAAGAAGAATAATTTAGGGATATAAAAGACCCCTCTGTGGGGGTCTTTGATGTGTAGGTATGTTGTTACTGTATGAACTTGCAGATTGAACTTGTGCTTCAGTAACATAAAGCAGACAGGGAAGCATTGCAGCTAGATGCTTTTGTTGCACTTTTTTCCTGTCTGATTAATTTTCTTCCGCCACGGCTTTGATCCACAACTATTTTTACCGCTATTCTTGTCTTTTAGTGACATTGATTTATGCAGTCATTTGGCAGCTTGTATTTTCTCTTTCCTGTTGTCCGAGTCTGGTTTTAATTCCGTTTCCATAACAACCTCAAGGCCGTTCCAATGGTGTTGTATATTGTCTTAATCTTATTAATAGTCTTAAACTTATTACATGCTTCTGTTTTCAGCCTTGTTAGTGAGTTTCTCTTTCACTCTCTCTTTCTCTCATACAGATCCACCTTTTTTATTTTCTCCATCATTCCTCCAACGTTTTCCCATCATCCAAGTGAAAAATGTCCTTTAAATCTCTAATGCAATGTCTTTCGCTGTATGAATTTGGAACCACCGGCTGCGGTTTCAGTACAGTGAGCAGAAAGGAAGTTTAGGAACTTTTTTCAGAAGGAGGCTGTGATGTTTATCAGTTTTGCACGATCGCTGATGGCCCTCTGGCTCTGGCATGGCATTCATCCATCCATCAGAGCTCCAGAGAGGCCTTCACCAGCCTCTTCTTTCTCCCCCCAAGGCTGTCAGTGTCTCTATCCATCTCTCACACCGGGACCGCTTCTGACTGGCAGGTCATGTTAAGCAGCTTCTCATACAGGCACCCTGATGCTCTCACTGTGCGTATGGAAGCATTTAGGGTGAACAAAACAGTTCTGCTTTTTAGCAAAGAGAGTGAGAGGGTTCATGCACTTCATGTCAAAATATATGCTCTAAAAACAAGTTGCTATAAATTTGGTGCAGAATGTGAACAAGATTTCACTTGGTTTGAGCGGTAAAATGTTAAAATTGTGTCAGCCGGTAGGAGATCTGCAGTGCAGTTTAATAAAGAAAAAAAGAAAAAATCTAACCAGATGCAGAAAACTATAGGCTGTATTGTAGATAGACACTTCCAGTATTGACCGCATTGTTGATTATAAAGGAGAGACTTAAAAAAATTAAAAACATGTTTATCAGAGGTGCAGATAAAAAAATTAAAATCTGCCCAGAAGCAGAAAACAACTGTCGGCTTCCAGTATTGACAGACGATTATAATGAAAGTGATGAAAGTGAAGTCAAATGTGGCTCATCCAGTCTTTTTTTTCTTTGAAAGTGTTATGTAATTTTAAGCTGTTTTTGTACTGATGCCAGACTTATCATTCATTTGTTATGGATAATCATACTTTTTGTTTTGCGTCAAGCCCTGCCCCACCCATCAACCCACACTGTCATTTTTATGCCGCTACAATATTGAAAAATAGACATTATGTTTACATGCTACATCTATTCATTTGGCAGATGCTTTTATCCAAATAGACTTAAAAATGAGGAACAGCACAAGCAATTTATCATAAAAGCCAACAATATTTGTAGTACACTAGAGCAAAAGAGAAGTTTTTTCTTCCTTTTAACAGTTATTAAACATTAAAAAGGGTTTACTTAAAAAAACAAAAAAACATCTAAGTTAATTAATTTTACACAAGTCAAAATAATTATTTGCCTTCTTTGAATTAATCAACCTAAATGCATTAGACCAACAACATTAAATGTAAAGGTTATTTGAGGTATAAAAAAGACTCCTTAATGTAATAACATAAGGTTACCATAGTGTAGGAAAAGTCTTATGGTTTTGGATGCAAGTATACTTTTGGCCAGATATTTGTACTTTTAATTGTGCAACCTTTTCACTGAGTATCTGTACTTTCACTTGAGTATAATTTTTGAATACTTTTTACACCCCTGGTTATGTAATGTATGTTGAATTTCTGGCAAAAATAACTATATAGTGATGTATACTGTTACTGTGATATAAGATTGTGGCCATACCACCGACTCAACAAGTCAAACTGTCAGATGTTTGTCTCTTTTTGCCATTTTGGTGGCAAGAAATTGTCTATTGGCTATTGTGCCCTTGTAGATAATGACCTGTGCAAAAGTTTGAATAATGCTCTGGATGTGGTTGAGTCAATGGTGTGTTTTGTTATGAGTAGCTTTTGCTGTATACACAAAATAGAGTGACCTTATAGTATGCTATGAGCTTGGATTAGCTGAGACACACTCCTGACACACCTGGGGGATTTGCTTTCTCTTTCTGTGCCCTCACTCTCTTATCTTTCTCTGACTCTCTCTTTATATATCGATCTTAATATGGCTCTCTCTTGCCCACCTCCTCTATCTATTAATCTATTATTAATAATGATTTTATATTGATCCAAACCTGGAGCTTAAGTTAATCTTTTTCTAAGCCTCCCTCACTAATTCCCACTTCTCTCGCTCGATCTTTCTCTCTCTTGCTGTTCTTCTGTGTCTCCCCAGCAGAGTGTAAGGCAGCAGGTGTGCTGTCACAGACAATGAAAGGGCCAATCACCTGGGAATCAAAGAGCCCGTGACTCTGTCACTCCACACACCTTCTGACAGACAGCCCACTATTTATACCTCTCTCAGGGAAAAAGTGAGAGCAAGGGAGGAATTTCGTTAGAAAGAGGGAAAAAAGAAATAAATGGGAATGGGGAGATGCGTTTGAAGGGGAGATTGAGCAAGAGTGAAAAGTCGCGAAAAGGGGAGAAGACACCGGCGTGTTTTATGACTGACATGGTTTTCTTTCTTTTTGTCCTTTAGCTTTTTTTCGTTCATGCATTTCCATGATGTTACCGTGCCGTCCATAAATGTGTGCTGAAACTGTCTTTAGTTCTGTCACTTTGCAAGGCGATGATTGTGATAAAGAAGGAAGGTTTAATGAGGCGACGCAGCAGCTAAACGTAGCAAGTGCTGCCATGAGGAAAACACTCCACTCATTAGTATCTGCCATTCTCTCCAACTTGCGTGTAAATGTGTCTCTGCATCTATGATGTTTTGTAGTTCACTTTTTTTTTTGTGGAAAATAAGCATCAAAACTTAAACAACAAAACTGAGATTCTGAATTTGTATCTGAAACTGAGGACATGCTGTGAAGAAACCCATATCATGACACAGTCATGCAGGGCCAATGCATGGCCTTATGTTTTGTGTCCTGAGTCACATACTGAATATACCAGACAAAATCGCCAATTAAAATAAACCGCTCCAGCTATTTTTAAATGGCCTTTTTGTTGTTGTTGTTGTTGTTCTTCGCCTTCTCTGGTTTTTATGTAATTTGATACATTCATGGTTACAGACATTTCTTTGTACAGTTTGAGTGAGCTGAATATGAGTGTGGAAATCTCTACATTTACAGGTTCAGACTGGTATACAGTGAGAGTGGATTTGACGGTGATGGATGTCAATGATAATGCCCCAGAATGGATGATGGTCCCTTTCCCCTACCTGAGTGTGGTCTCTGCTAATGCCCCACCAAACACACTGGTCTACAAGCTTCAAGCCAGAGATGGTGATGAGGGCATCAATGGAGAGGTGGAATACTTCCTGTCTGATGGTAAGCAGATTTCCCATCTGCCTCCTTATTTTATATCAAAGTTTATTTAATTTATATTTCAGGTTTCTTTGATAAATAGCAAGTTCAAAAGAACAGCATTTAGCTGAAAAAGAAAGCTTCTGTAACATTTAAATGTATACTGTCACTTTTGATCAATTTAATGCATCCTTGCTAAATAAAAGCATTAATTTATTTATTTTCATTTCATTTTCATTTTCATTTTCATTCTTAAAAAAAATCTTACTGACCCCAAACTTTTAAACAGTAGTGTATGTTACACAAGCTTTCTATTTCAGATACATCCTGTTCTTTTGAACGTTGATCTGTCTATCTATCTATCTATCTATCTATCTATCTATCTATCTATCTATCTATCTATCTATCTATCTATCTATCTGTCTGTCTGTCTGTCTGTCTGTCATTATTATTAATAATCATAATATTATTAATAAGTATTATTTTATATTATTCATTTAATGGTAACACTTTAATATATCTATCTATCTATCTATCTATCTATCTATCTATCTATCTATCTATCTATCTGTCTATCTGTCTGTCTGTCTGTCTGTCTGTCTGTCTGTCATTATTATTAATAATCATAATATTATTAATAAGTATTATTTATATTATTCATTTAATGGTAACACTTTAATATAAGGCTTACTTTTTAAAATGAATTTAACAATGCTAACTAACAATGAACAACATTCATTTTATTGCATTTATTAATTGAGGTATTTATTTATAAATATGTTTTTCATTGTGCACGTATAAATTAATATTAATACATTAATATTAATTTATACAAGTTGGATATACAAGTTAAATGATACCTAAACCATTAACAAATTTTAACCAATTGAACCTTATTGCAAAGTGTCACCATCATAAAATTTCCATTTCATTTGCATGTGGATGAATAGTTTTGTTATACAACAGGAGGTGACGGGAGATTTGAGGTGGACAGGAAGAACGGTTACATGCGGACGACAGGCCTCCCCCTGCAAAGAGACAGAGAATACCTACTCACAGTGGTGGCTGCTGATCGGCAGGGCAGCCGCAGTCCTCCCGCTGTAGTGTCTATCATCGCAGGCCCAAGAGCTCCTCAGTTCACCAACGCGTCTTATACAATTTCCATACCAGAAAACACACCAGAAGGCCAACCGTGAGTAAAGCCATAACACACACACCCTCATAAACACACACCCAATCTAGTAAATGTAGCAAATCTTATTTCCATAGTGTAATTCTAGCACACCTTAAATGCATCTCCCACACCGTGAGAACACCGCTTATCCATCAGGATAACAAATAGAAACAGGATAATACTGCACTTACAGCCATCCACGCTCCCTCTGCTTCTCGCTGGAGCATCGCTTGTGTGAGTCATTGTGTACTACACGATGCAAAATTCATGAAATAATGATCTTTGACTATGTCAGGGTACTGGGATATGCATTAATGATGCATGAACATCAGAATTTTGTTCTGCTCGTATAGCCAGCCCTGAGAGGTTAACCATGCGTTACACCAGGTAATATACACAATAAAAGCCGGCTTTATAGTAATAATAATAATAATAATAATCGGTAACACTTTACTTGAAGGGGTGTGCATAAGACTGACATGACACCTTCATAATCATGACATGACACATGTCATGAATATGAAGGAGATTTTATGCATGTTTACAACAACTGTCATTAAGTGTCATTCGCTCAGTTGTAATTTTTAATATGACATTATTTGACCTAACCCTACCCCTACCCTTACCCTTAACCATAGCCCATAACAAAGACATCTCAAACAATGTCATCTTTGCATTAAAAATTACATAACTGAGCGAATGACACTTAATGACAGTTGTCATAAACATGGGGAGCAGTTGGGGGTTCAGTGCCTTGCTCAAGGGCACCTCAGTCGTGGTATTGAAGGTGGGAGAGAGCGCTGTGCATTCACTCCCCCCCACCTACAATCCCTGCCGGTACGAGACTCAAACCCGCAACCATTAGGCCATGACTTCCCCTGTCATATCATGTCGCAGTTGGTGACTAAGCAGTCAAGAGCCAATGAGCATTTGATATCACTGACATAAAGCATTTGCTTGAATTTTTCCCAAGGCAGCAATTTTTTGTTTTTTAATTTGTAGAGAACTTATTACAAATGTTGTGTCCCATGGCAAACAAGATGTGTGATTTATGGTTGTGGTTAAATGATTATCCTAGATTAATGAATGCTGTGATATCTTCATTGTCATTTCTTACAATCAGCTATAATCTCTCACTTCTAATTTGATTTGTAAATCTTTGTGTTTTTCCTACTTTGATAATGCTTAATAAGATGTCATGAAATTGCAGTGATACACTTTAATTGCTGGGTTTTATGATTTTGTTCTCTAAGTGTAAGCACTGGTCATGATTTGACCCAGTGAATAAAAATCAACGAGAAAGAAAATGATAATAACAGTGATCAGTGAGACAGATGCACCTTAAAGGAGTAGTTCACTTCCAGAATGAAAATTCTGTCAACATTTACTCACCCTCCACTTGTTCCAAACCTGTATAAGTTTCTTTCTTCTGTTGAACACAAAAGAAGATATTTTGAGAAATGTTGGTATCCGAACAGTTGATGGGCACCATTCCATAGTAGGAAGAAAAAAATCCTATGGAAGTCAATGGTGACAGAATTTTCATTCTGGAAGTGAACTTCTCCTTTCAATGAAAATTACAACAGAGGTTGTTTTTTTTAGCATCAGGATGAGACTAAAGTGAGAGATATTTTAATCTATGTCATCGGAAATGAGGAGGAAAACTTTTCCATTTCTGCTTGCTTTCTTCAGTAATGGGTTTGCTTTGCCCCCAATATATTTGTTAACCAGCACAGTAGCTACTGTATGTTCTTTGATGCTGTGTAATTGTAAATTGTTTATTCTACATTTACACAAGATCAATGAGCCTGTGGTTAATCTCTTACCTGCTGTAGCTGTTTCCATTTATCTTAACATTTATTTCCACAACATACAATCCCCCACTTACCCACATTTAGTTACGACTATATGTGTCTAAAGCTATACTGCATTCACATTGGAAGTTGGATTCATTGAAACTTATATTCAACAGATGTCCATATTAGCTCAGACGCCCTTGGCGCGCTTATCGTTTTATTTACCTTTGTTAACCCATTCTTCTTTGCTTTTATGTTTGTTCATTTTTAGAACAGCATAATCAATTATAGTAAATAATCATCATCGATTATTGTCAATCAGGTTGTCTCTCTCTTTGTCGTTTCTCATGCAGCTTCCTAGTCACTCCAGCAGTGTCCTTCCAAAAACAGCTTGTAACTTACAGCCTGCTCATCAATCCCAGCAGTCTTTTCAGCATCCAGCCAGAGACGGGGGAGATCAGTCTGACCCGTACTATAGACTATGAGAGTGACCAGCACCGCTACCTGCTACTGGTGCGGGCCAGTGAGAATCAGGACAGTCTCAGTAGTGCTGCTGAGGTGAGTGCTGCAGGTGCACAGACAGACTCTACAACCCATTTAAGAATTGTACATATTCTGCACATTCAATCAACTCTCTTTAAAACATACAATGAATATGCTTTGTTATGCATGATTTTATTTATTTATTTGTACCTTTGGTGCTTATATATTTGAGATATAATATATTTTTTATAGATAAAATTACAATTTCTATATTTCTAAAACATCTACATTTTTTGACTTTTTTTAGATTTTTTTTTGAGTCTGACGAGAAAATGGTTCATTATCTCTTGGTTCTAACTTCATTACTTCTAAGATCTAATGTGTGATATATGGAAAGTTTTTGCACATAATGAAATGTATAGTAGTGGAAATGTATTCATTAGGTAGTTTATGGGACACACATCAATATCACAGTACAATGACTGTCAAGAAGACTCTTCAGTATTATGATTTTTTTCATTTGACTTCAGTAGAAATGTAACTTTTATTGAACACTATATTTATTTCCCAGGCATGCACGTCTCAAAATGTTGATATAGATGGTTGCATAGCAACAGGGAAAAAAAGTGAAATCAGTGAAATAACAGTGAAATAGCAGTTAAATAAATGTGTAGTGAAAAAAGATGACTGACGATATCTACAGCAACAACTCTTATAATTGTATGCTTTTGGCTGTTCATTCTGTATAATTTTTTTAATGCAAAAAATTATATGGTTGAAAAGATAGCTAAGATATATATATATATAGAGAGAGAGAGAGAGAGAGAGAGAGAGAGAGAGAGAGAGAGAGATGGATAAACAGACAGGTAAAAAAGCAAAAGCAAAAGCAAAACAACTATTTTATTTTGAATACGGGGTCACAGCCACTAGGAAAAATTAATTACTATGAATTCCTTTTAAAACGCATGTTAGATCAAAATTATTCCCCTAAATTTTGTCCCAGCTAGCCAAACACAGCTGTCTAAACAAACAGTTTCATATTGAGCACTATTGCTGATTTGCAAGCTCCCAGCATTGCAGAATGAATACATTATGAGGTTAGTGTGTTATAATCTTATTTTTTTTACCACTTGCTGGCATTATTTATGTTGCTGTGCTGTTTTTTTGTTTTGTTTTGTTTATTGTTTAGTGATTTAAACAATAAACATTTTCATATTATATACAGTATAAACTTCACTTCTCTTTTAAATTAAGACAGACTGATGATAATGTTCATGTTATTTATGCTTCCATTTCAATTTCGGTCACTTAAGAATGAAAAAACTATAATTGAGAGGGTTGTGGCGCTGTGGGAAATGTAAGGGCAACAGTTTAACTGAAATCAAAGAGATGCCTAGCAGTCCGTTCATTCCTTTTACAGTAACATTCCCCTGGAGGTTGTAGTCTCGCCTCATCATGACTTGATCTGGCTGCTCAGTGATCCATACATCTCTCCTGGCCTGAGGCATGCAGGCCAGCCAAGATTTCAGCTATTAGCTGGGGAATGTCTCAAAACAATGCAGCCACCGTGTGTCTAACTGCAGATGGGGAGCAAGAGGGCATGCAGACAAAAAATTATACTAAAAGACTGACAGACCCTTTTGACTTCAAGAATCCTGTGAGACGTGGTCCTGAGAGAAATTTGCCTGTTGTGTTCTCTGCATTCAGGCACACCGCAGCCCATCTGTCACCCTGAAATCACTCTATAACTCTTCTCACATCTCAGTTTCTGGAGACCCCGAACACCTGTGCTAAAGCACCAGTTACAACAAACAAAACAAAACACGGTTTAAAATGACATAATTAACAATGTGCAAAATGAAAAGGCTTCAGAATCAATAATTATGGCCTATTCAGTCACTAGGTTTCTCACAGTCATGGACAATCTGAAAATATCAGCAATATTTGTAATTGTTTTCCAGGCCTGAAAAATTCATGGAAATTTCAGTAGTGGATATACATTTTCTATTTATGATCTGCTGTAAAAAAAATACTGCCTAGAATTTGCTTGTGTAGAATAGCATTTCGTTGCATTCCATAGTGATGTGTGATATGTGAGTGAATTGATCTTTTGTGTCTGTTTATGTCAATAAATGAGTTATAAATAAATCAGTTCACAATATGTTAATCAGCTTTGTATTCCCAGATTGTGTCCGTCATATCACATCTCTTTATTGATACAATGTCTTTGTATATCATTGGTTTTTACTATCAACAGAATAACCACTGAGAGTAAAACTTATAAAATAGGGCTCTGAACAGTTACTGAGAACACAAAACTTTCCCTCAGGGATCTTTCTGTCTTGTAGCTCTTCTTTTTGATTCAGCCTTATATGAAGGCGTTTTATTTCATGTGATTTTGGATTATGGTCTCTGTTAGTGTTAGAAATATGGGTAACCTTGTTGACTCTGAACTGTTGTCACAATTTTGACCATTTCTGACTTGGCCTGTCTATTTTCATCTTTCCGGTCTCTAAAATTGCAGTGAGTAGGTTGTTAAAGTCACTTAGCAACTGCCAGGAAGCTTGAGCAACAGTGTCAGGGCAAAAGCACTCACACAGTGTTTTTCCTCCTCCAGAGAGCAACATTCAGCTTAATTCGTATGGGAGGCATTAGGTGCCTCTTTTAGCTTCCCTGATGCTTTTGCAACAAATTGGGAAAGAGCTATAACATGGCAATGAGATCCTGGAGGACGTTTGTCCCTTTGTGTTGAGATTCACTACTTCACAACTACTGTATTTTCAGGCACAGATGTTTGGTTATGTAAGAACATAACTGCTTGACACCAAATCATTTTGCAGTGAGAAAGGGCCAAGATAAAACTGGATAATGGTTTTAACGCGTGATAGGATATGGCCTTTTAAGCTTGTTAAAAGAGCTTTTTTGGCGAGGCGTTCTCAGATTCTGAGAAACACTGGGGACAGTCATAGTGATGTTCTAACTTACTCCCTGATAATAATTCACAAATTCAAGATATTATGATCTGCCCATTTGTTTCATTAACAATTCACAACTTTCTATTCTGTGCCTTCTGGCTTCCTTTCCGCTTGTTTTTCCACAGGTGCGAGTGATCATCACAGATGAGAATGACTGTGTTCCTGAGTTCCAGCAGTCCATTTATAGCAAAGACGGTGTCCCTGAGACAGTCATGACTGCAACATCGCTTCTGCAGGGTAAGGCTGTGGACCTGCGTTATCTTGAGGTTCTTGTATAACAACACATAATATAATGACCTACTTACTGTTTATTTTTTACATTTCATTAGTCACTTTGTCATGCATTTCATTTTAGTAGAAGTGACATTTGAAACCAAATATTCAAATATCTGATATATTTATTTAAACATGTATCACCATTTAACAAAAGCAACATGCAGAAACGGTCCTTGTGAAAACCAGGCTCATGAAATAATATTCTGAGTTCACTATTGTAATACAATATTGTAAATTCTCAAGTGATTCATTGCTCATGTTTTAGGCAAGGGGCACATTTTAGTGTGTTGTTGCAGAAAGAGTGTATTAGCAATGTGACTTTGTTCTGTCTAGTGCACAACTTGCTTAATTTTGTGCAGATGCATGCTGTAATATTACGTTATATGATCAGTAAGTAATTTTTTTGAAAGAAAGAAATTAAAGCTTTTATTCAACAAGGACACATTACATTGTTTCTTGAGTACCAACTCAGCATATTAGAATGATTTCTGAAGGATCATGTGACACTGAAGACTGGAGTATTGCCTGCTGAAAATTCAGCTTTGACGTCATAGGAATAAATTACATTTTAATGTATAGTAAAGTAGAAAACATGTCTTTTAAATTGTAATATTATCTAACAATATTGCTGTTTTTACTGTATTTTTGGCACACAAGAGACAAAACGATCCCAAAACTTTTAAATGGTACTGTATATCTGTTTGGGTTATTTAGCAATTCAGTTAACTGGTGTTGATTTACTGTGTAATTGGATTATATACACAAGTGCCCGGTTGCATAAAGCACCTTAAGTGTACTTTTCCCTTAAGATCGCCCTTAAGTTTCCCTTACACTTAAGGGCGTTGCATAAAATATCCCTTAAATAATACTTAAGGGCATCTTTAGGTGAAACCTAATAAACCCTTAAAATGTATCTTAAGTATCCCTTAAAACCCATTAAGTGTTGCATAAAGCCCCTTAACTGTCATTTTCCTAAGTATAACAAGGGTTGGAAAATGTCATTTTAAGTGTTACACAAAAGTCTTCTACAAGTCATGATCCGCCGCTTTATATGTTAAACAGATTTTAATTTACGCATTTATTCACATATAAACATTGATCAAATTACGTACAGCACATAATTAGCTCAAACGTGAGTGCGTCACACTCGAGAGCAAATTTATATTCCATATGTTATTCCTGTATTTTCCTACATATTACCTGGAGATGACTTGAAAAACACACATAAACCATATATTGTTGCAATCGTGAGTTTATTGTGTTTACGTTTCTGCCTTTTATTCAGCTTAGGCTACTTCTATGAATCCAGTTTGGACTTTCTGCACGAGAGCGCCCTCCGGCTTCGAGTATGAATGAAACATTCACTGCATGAGAGTTTAGCGCTTTAATGTTCAAATCGTTTTGGATACGAATAAAACGTCATGCATAGACTATCTTTTCTCTTTGCATTTAAAGGTGACATATCATGAAAATCTGACTTTTCCAGGTTTTAAGTGCTATAATCAAGGAAACGTGAAAAAGATTAACCCAGTAAATTTGTTTTGATAAGCCTTTTTCTGCAAGCGTCTGAGAAAATTAGCGCGACTGATTTCGCTCCCTTGGTGACGTGGCCCTTAATCTGTAAATGTAATACACCCACAGCGCCGTCATTGTGTTTTTGCAAGCGATAACGTTGTTTTCAGAATTGTGATTTGCTTTGCACTTCTCAGCCACCGTAAAATAGGCATTTTCAAAGTGATATAATAAATTATATGTGGAGAATTTTGAGCTGAAACTTCCCAGACACATTCTGGGGACACCAGAGACTTATATTATATATTGTAAAAAGGGGCAATAATATTTCTCCTTTAAATATATATTTATTCACACTAGTACCTGAAAACCTCTACATGGACAGAAATGATGAGATATATTTATTCGTTGTCCAAAGATGAATAAAAGTCTTATGGGTTTGAACTGACACGAGGGTGAGTAAATTTTTCAGAATTTTCATTGAATTATCAATTTGAGTTTCTGTCTCGTCTGGTCCTTCTCTTTCATATTTGGTTTTCTTTTTTGTTTTCCTTATTCATGTTATATTGTTTTCTGTGAACCGTACACCACTATCTGCATTAACAAATAACGTGACCATGGCAACAGTCAATTTTTTTAATGGCAAAACATGGGTCGCTGCCGTGAAACACGTAACGGTTTAAAGTATTTAAGGGATTATATGCAACACCCTTAAGTCATTCCCTTAGGTAAGGGGAAATCACGCCTTAAATCTCATACATAAGGGAAAAACTTAAGGTGCTTTATGTAGTGATCGACCGATATAGATATTATATAACCGATACCAATTATTTACATGTTTATGTGCCCAATAACCGATATGCAGAACCAATATTTATTTACTATTATAAAGTAAATAAATGACTGAGTGAAGTAAGTCCGTACTTCACTTTGGTTTTTCCTCCGTTCAGTCATCTTAAAAAAAGTGTTGAAAATTAGCAGTCTTTCATGTTAAATTTAATCTTCATATTACAATAATAATAAAAAACATTTTATTTAAAGCATCAGCAGCAACACTAATATTAACAATAAGCAAAATAAATGTAGAAGGTCTAATGTTTTCAAATGGAGAAAATAAACAAAGGACAGGAGTCATATCAAATTCATTTTAAACTACAGTTTTAGTATGTTTATAAGCTGTTTTATAGGCTAAAGAGTGAATAATTCACTGGATAATGTTAATTCACTGAATAATATTCTCTGGAATATTGAAATATAACAAACAAAACATCATATTTTATTGCATTTCTCAACTGGCATGTTATATCAGAATTACTAATAATGTTGTTGTGCTTCTAGATTATGAAATGCCTGCTGACAGCGCAGTTTATCTATGCATTTACACAGAACTATACTCAAACTGCGATCGCTCGTGGAGACAATAAATAATTAATTTCCATAGAGTTGTATCTATTTAGATGTTTATTAGCGAAATTATGGTTATATAGTAAATGTTAATACAATTTAGGGTGTTTTAAACAAGTGAATCTTGTTAAAAGTTACATGCGGTAGCCGTGCTGGAGCATTTCCTGAGCATCAACCTGCTGAGTGAACAGCAAAATGAAAGCGGCTTCACAAGACTAATGATGAGCATAGACAACAAACAGATAATTAAATTTAGCGCTTTTATTTCCACCATGCACTCATTCATGGCTGTATTATTTAATTAATACAAAGTTGCGTCTTTATTGGGAGAGGACTTGATGGATAATCTTAGCCTACATGCCTCCGACTTCATGAGACAATGAGCATATAGACAACAGAGAGCGAATTAAATTCAGCACTTTTAT